GAACCTTATAATCCTTGTATGATTTGTTGCTTGAATTGAATATGTAAAGGATGTAGTTATTAATGTCAAGATGTCCCAACATCCAATGAGCATGATTTGTAGGTATAATGGGCATCAACACAGATTCAACTTCTCTCTAAGCAGTATTAAATGATAGCCGTTCACCATTGATGGTTTTGATTAGGTCATCTTTCTCATTCACAATGCTTGGATCTTGAACAAATTTAGTGTATAAAGTCCAGATTGTGAAATCAAATATACAGTCTGTAGTTGTTGCTTTCATCTTGACACATTTACAAAATTTGGCAAGTTGTCTTATGTAATGAAAACATGCATCAATGTGCTGTAATAACAAATAGCATACATAAGTAATGTGAACTACTATGCATATGTGAAAAATCATGGCAATATTGTACTGTGCTGCTCGATGATGAATTAGAATCGATCAACGTATGCAACCAAGTTTTATGGTGAATAGGAACATTACCACACACAAATTGAGGACTTATCACATTATCTACATCACTGAACTTTACCCTGTAAACACATGTATGCACTCATCAAACAAATAATAACATGTCACAATTGACACAAAAACACTTATAATCTACATTTCTTGTACTTGTTCTTGGGCTTGTATCATCGGTTAAACAAATTCTGGAATGAACTCAAGTCTGCACCATCAACTCCCTTCGAATAAATTTGGAACAAAACATTTCCAAGCATAGATTTTGATCCAGTAGCGACATGACGTGGATCAACCTTAACAAAAGGTGAATGTAGAGTTTTTGATGGCTTTTGTGCCCTCTTCATAGGTAGTCTGGGTGATGGAGGTGTAGACATATCTTTCTGAATCAAAAATACAAAAAGAAAGGTTCTTGAATTAGTGTATGATAATCAGTCTAAATTTATAATATGAAAAATTAAATGTTTTGTTAAACTGACATCTTCGGTATGACATTGAATAGACTCCAACACGCGTTCAATAGCTTCATCAACATGCTCCTACACTCTTTACTAGCAAAGAATGCATCATCAGAGGTTTTAGAACTCTGTGAGTAGCGAACACCTACGTCAAATAAAGGATATTGGAGAACGTAGTAATCATGGAAACAATGTGAAGACTCAGGTGCCATATGACATTTGTCCCTTTTTTCAATCACATTATCACATTTTGGCTCAAGTTCCATATGACCCTTACCCTTTCTTTCAACCACACCATCAACTTTTAGCTCTTGTTCAGTCGAACCATCTTTACCACTCAACTTCGTTTGAACTTCATCTATCACCGAAGATAAAATGTCAAACACAAATTCAACAAAAGATTTAAGAGACGACCTGATGTCGTTCAAGCCATCTTTCAACATATTCTGATTTTGAATAACCTCATTGAGCTTCAAAAAACTGTTTGAATGACACATTTTGTCATTTATGTCAGATAGTTTTGACTTCATCGACAAAAGCTCCTCTTTCAACTCATTTTTATCTATTGGATTCTTGTTTATTTCCTCATCCATCAACTGCCTCAATCGACTACATTCCTGAAAATTTTTGTAGTTAGTAGAATTGTATATAAAATGGCTTTTTAAGTTCGTAAAAAATGAAATTACTTACTTTGACACATGAATAATCAGGATGATAGACAGGATGAGGCTGAGCAGGAGAGCTAGAGCTAGCAGCCCCCGTCTGTTTTTGTGGTGGTGGATTGACAAAATCATCATCTGAATCTTGAACATGTACCTTTGAAAGCCGAGTAGACTTCTTTTGCCCACTTGAGTTTTAGAGATCCTAATGTTCTGATTTGGTTATCTAGGCTTCGAGTACTGCACATCTGTCGATTGTACCCAACATACAGAACAACGAAATCAATTAGCACAATAATACAAATCATATCACAATATATATGAAGGAAAGCCACAAGTAACATATTTCAGGTCACATGTCATAATATATCTGAAATTCATATTTAGAACATGTCATATATGGCATCGTGAGCTCTACTTCAAATGGGTCAGTATCATTTATCACAACCTGTTTGACATAAGATGAAAAAAAGTTGAGTATATGTCATTTTAAATATGTATAACTAATCAAATGATTACATAACAGTTCAAACGTATTTACGAACTTACATTCTCACTTCCAAACACTCCGTCTTCCAACATTTCCACATAAGGATGTTTGTGCACGGTCCAATTCATAAGTTGTGGATGTTTCTTACAAATTCTTGTGGCCACGTTCCCCTCAAGTGCAGGTATGCACTTATACATCCACACCGGAAAGCCATTAAAAAACCCATCAATATGTAGTGACTTGTTTGTTTTGATAATCCCTTCCTTAATGACGATAATGTGGTCTCAAATAAATATTTGCCCCAAGGGAACATTTCAAGAGTGGCAAAATCGTCTACAAGTGCAAAAATGTATTGATCCACGACCTTCGGGTAGGGTGTAACAAATAGATACGAGGTGATAAGATAAATAATCCCTATCTTAACCACATCAAGGTCTGGTGCATCATCCAATGAAAGAAAGACTCTTTTGACATCTTCACTTGTGACAACTTTTAACTCCTTGAAATACGTATGCTTCACTGCAGACAGTTTTTCATCCAACATCGGTTGACTATCGACCCCATCATACCGCAATCCAGTGACCAAACAAAATTCAGCAGTGGAGAACCGAATATATCATCCATTTATGTTGAACCACATCTCCTATTTGTTGGGTTGCTTTACCTCCCATAGTAAAATATAGTGAATCAACTGCAACTGCACTACTATCTCCCTATAATTTATGTAGTAAGAAACACATGTGTTTTCCAGAATGTTGCAGTTGTGAATTACATCACAAAGTGTGGATGACACTCTGTATGAGTGTTATAGTAATCTTCCCAAGGAACCAATTCCTTGGTTTAATTAAATAGCTCTAGTCCTGCACAATCGTAATGTTAGACATGTTACTGTGACATTCAACAAATAAATATTTGGTCACAAATTCTCCAAAATATAACAAATAACAGTCGATAGTCGCAACACGTATTAGTGCAGATATCAGTTCCATATTTATGTCATGTGCTTTAATATTTTTATCCACTCTGAAGTATATTAACATGTCATAAGACATAATCAACTTTCATTTACATTCCGAAAAAATTAGCAACACAATAATATTTTAAAACATGATGGTGCAGATATTCTAATTCAATCCAGCACACTTTAGAAAACATGTTCAGATCACATAAATAGTAATCGATCAAACAGTACACAAAATAAGTCACAAACCCTTCAAATTACAAAATACCCAAAATAAGTTACAAAATCATATTTCGGTCACAAAATACCCAAATCAGGTCACAAAATCAGATTTCACCTTCTTCATGGATTTCTCGTCAAAGGCAGACATTTTGACTTTGTTTGTTGAAGAAGAACATTCGACATCTTTTTTCCTATTTCTTTTATCCTTCTCCTTTATATTCACATCAACAATACGAGTTCTAACCGTTTAAAATACTACAATGGTTGAAACTAAAATGTAATATGGCTATTTCACATGAATCTCCGATGATAATGCCGGCGATTTGGAGTTCTTGTGAGGTTGAAAATGGTAGAGAAAGACCGAGACATGAGTGTTGTTGTTGAGAGGGGGAGATACGTGGTTTTGTGTGGTAGAGAGAGCATGTGAGGGAGTGGCGATTTTCACAGAGAGAGAGACGTGGGTTACATGACAGGGATAAGTACATGGAGTGGGATACGTGGACGGTCCAGATTAAATCTCACGAATATTTAGTTAATATAATAAATTTATTTTTATTAATTTAAAAATAGATAATTACCACCTGATTTTTGAATTTTAAACTTTATCCCCTTATTTTTGAATTGTAAACTTGAAAACTAAGGTTTTTGGTAATTTTCTCAACGTAACCCTGCTAGTATTGGGCTTGGGCCAACCTTATAATACAAGATCAATAATAAAAAAACATAAATAATGAAAAAAACCCCTAATAGAAAAATAATGTCCACATCAAATGCGATATCAAATGGATTTCTAGATATAATTGGACTTTCTGCAACCTTTTAAATATAATGATAGGTTTATTTTATAGATATATAAAGCTATTTAATTGGTTCATTTTTTTTATTTTTGAATTGAATCTACTTTGCTGCTTACTTCCGCGTTTGCATTATGCTTTTCCCGTCCTTTAAGACATAATTAGCTTGAGTATTCTGTGTTTTTATGTTCAATGTCTTGTATGTGTTTGCGGGATCACAATACTAAAATTTAGCTACACTTTGATGGTATGCCTAGTTATCACTATCAAAGTGGCAATATTTCTTTCCTCTATTCTTAGTGATATTATCTTTTCCGAGTTTTGTTCCGTTCATTTTTTGAGAAGAATATTTGGAAAGTTAAAATAGAGGTGACTGTATTTCATTTCTTTCTTTTAATATTCGTGTCGAACATATTTCACTTTTAGAAGAAAATATATGGAACTTTGTCCTAGAACTTAACCTTTAGATTTCCTTTGACATCCACTGAGATTAACAGATTCTGGAGTTTTGATGGCTTTATTGAATGTATAGTTCCTGATTCTTAGAGAATTGGTCATTGCTTAAATCTGGAAATGATTGGTATCTAAAGATTAAAGAGTAAACGATCATCCACATGACCGGATAATAAAATATTAGGCAATTCAGGGACTAGTGACAAAAATGCAATTTTCATGTTTTGTAATGTGTATTATTTCATCACAGAACTGATAAAATATTATTGAAAAGATACTATCCTTCTTCAAGACTGATTTGGGACAGGCACCTAGGCTTTCTTTTCCTTTCTCTTGTAAATTCTTGTTCTTTTTACATTATTCACACACCATAGAAATCCAGAGGTTCAAAAAGGAAAAAAGAAAAAAGAACGAACTGTACAATGCCATCCCAATTGAGAGAACAGAGGGCTCACGAGCCCAAGTAAGCCCATCGAAGACAAACTATTACGCTATACTTAAGTAATACACCTCATGGAGTAGGTGGATACTGTAGTGTCAAGATTAGGGACTCTTGGGTGATCGCTCTCCAATCCATAGTCCATGGCTCGATGGTACTCGAGCTCCTCGTCATGTTCATGCACAAATTCTGGAATCTCAATTTCCTTCTTCCTTATGTTATTCCACAGATATTCCAACCTGTTAATATACCTCAGCTTCCAATAAAACCTGTTAAAGCTGAATCCCAGCGTCAGTAATGTACACCCTACACCCAGGGCCGGTTCTGTGATTTTCGGGGCCCGAGGCGAACTCCGAAAATTGGGCCCCCCCAGAATCAATGCAAATGAAAAACCAACAGTGTACTATGCAACGTATTGCTAACTTAAAACTGAACAGTAGAACAACAAACAAATATAAAGAACAAAAGATTTATATCTATTATAAAGTAACAAAACCAACAAGAGTTCAAACAATCAGTTAAATACTATTCGCCTCGCTGTTCAAACATATTTAAGAGGCATGGCGTATGAGTATATATCTAATGGCCAATAATTAGCCTAAAAGACAATTACAAAATATCTCAATCATCTCACAATTAAA